GCTGCTTTGTGCACTGGGGGACTGCAAAGAAACAACCTTTGACCTTTGGATCAAGGTCAACAAGCCACCACCAGACAGATCTAGATCCTACTGATCTAACTAGATCTAAATCTAGATCTAGTCAAGTTAATTAGTATGGTGGGTGAATCTAGATCTCTACCCAAACGCTGTTATTTATCATTTATGTCGACAGGTTTGTTGATCTAGAATCTATCTAGATATCTAGATCTAGATTCTAGATCTAGTTATAGTAGTAGGAGCCTATTTATGACACAGACTGTAGACTACACTATACGGTAGGTCTACTCTTCTTCAGTTAAAAAATTTGCAGTCTGTGTCTATGATATCTAGGCCTAGATCTAGATTTAGTTTAGATTTAGCTCTAGTAGTAGGCCTAGTATTCGTATTACGAAAGATTCTCTACTTCCAAGGTATTGCAATCCTTCTTTGGGATTTTGTCCCACGCCGTGGCGGGCCCGCTTTGCCGACGTCACAAGGTGACGTGAGGCTGGTTTCATCGCCGACTGCTTGGGGTGTGTGTGTGTTTCTTTGCAGTCCCCCAGTGCACAAAGCAGCGCTAGGGGACTGCAGTCCCCCAGTGGGTAGCGCCAGGGGACTGTACAGTCCCCTAACAACATCCTTTTCATTTTGGTAGACGTTAAGGGATTTGGGTACCTTGGGTTATTTTCTTTTTTTTTCACAGGGACACATTTTTTTTTTTAATGGATGCATAGGGTTACTAGGAAGTACATATATAATCCTTCACTTTCCATTTCGACATGCCATTTAGGTGAAGGGAAACAAGTTTGGAAATAAAGCTTTGGACAATACATGAAATTGAAAACATTGAATTTCTCGCTAGTATGAGGCAGCTAGTTCCCTGAGTGCTCTTTTTCAAAAGTTGAGGAGAACATCACAACTTTTCTCGGACTATTTTTTTACTACTTTTTTGGGAATGGTATTTTGGTCCATGGCCGACAGAGAAAGAGAGAGAGGGAGAGAGAGAGAGAGAGAGAGAGAGAGAGAGAGAGAGAGAGAGAGAGAGAGAGAGAGAGAGAAAGAGAGAGAGAGAGAGAGAGAGAGAGAGAGAGAGAGACCTGGGGGGGGGGGGGGAGAGAGACGACGACGACGGTCCTTGTAAAATTCAGTTAAGCCGTGTCTCTCCTCAGATAATCAAATAGTAACAAAATAAATTGTTTCATCCTCGATTTAGCATAACCATCAAAGCACTCTCAAAGAATTGACAAATAGCAGAAAAGCTAGATTCTTTTTTTGAGATTCTTTTTTTGAAGTGACATTCAGATTTGAACCTCACATTTATCACGGTTGCCACGACAGTTGACGACTGCTTGGATTTTTTGGATTGTCTTACATTTAGAGTTGTTGGTTTTGTTGTTGTTGTTGTTGTTGTTTGAGGGTTTTTTTCTCTAAGGGGTGGAGTGGGAATGTAGGGCGCCTCTGGTTGGTCAGACTCCTTCTTTCCCAATCAATCTGAGAGGTTTCTGTCTGTCCTGTCATTATGCTTTCTTCAAGAGCACAAAGAACAGTATTTTAGTTCTAAGCCGGCCAGACGGATTTTTAAAAAATCTGTTGTCTAAATAAAGCAGAGTCAGGTGATGTGATTGGAAAGGCACTATGTGTTGGGTCTACCTATTTTCTTCCCATGTGTTGTTTGCTTGTGTGTTTGTTCTATCTACCTTACCTTTTCTCCGTGAATTGTAACGGCTATTACCGTGTCAATGTATTTCTCTTAACTCAGACTCTAATGAGGGTACAATAGTCAATTCGTTCTATGTCATGTATACGTCATAGCTGTTTTGTGTTTTAGTTATCATCCATGTTACGTTTTCTGTCTACCTCTCTTTCCAACATGTTTCGAGCCAGAGTCTGATCTATTCAAACCTCAACAGTGTGGGCTTAGCTTTAAAAAAACTTGCTCCTATCCCACATGGCTATAAACGTAAATAATATGTACATACAAACAAACAAATAGACAAACAAACAAAACAAAACATAACAAGCAAACAAACAAACCGCCATTCTGTGTCAAAGTGCTCTTAGTTGTTGGTTTCTATTCGAACCGACTGTTAAAACTTGGGCAGTGAGTGGGGTAGCTTGATAGCGTTGACGGAGAGCTGGATTCTAAGTAAGTAGGCATTATAGCTTTCCTTGGTATTTTGCAAAGATGGAAAGAAGAAGAAGAAGAAGAAGAAGAAGAAGAAGAAGAAGAAGAAGAAGAAGAAGAAGAAGAAGAAGAAGAAGAAGAAGAAGAAGAAGAAGAAGAAGAAGAAGAAGAAGAAGAAGACGAAGAAGAGCAGATACAACAACAAAAACAACAACGACAGCAGCAGCAACAACAACAACAACAACAACAACAACCACAACAACAAGCAGAAGAACAAGAACAACAAGAAGAAGAAGAAGAAGAAGAGGAAGAGGAAGAGGAAGAGGAAGAGGAGGAGGAGGAGGAGGAGGAGGAGGAGGGGAGGAGGAGGAGGAGGAGGAGGAGGAGGAGGAGGAGGAGGAGGAGGAGGAGGAGGAGAAAGGAGACAATGATAATAATGGTGATGCAACTGATAGTCATAGAAATAGGAGTAAACTAATCATTTCCAGTCCTAAAAAGAAAAGTGTTTCTTTTGTTTTAATCTTTATAAGAAATAAAGAACAAAAACTTGATTATTATTCCACCAACATCTATTTGTTTTAGGCACGATAACAGTGCTGACGACAACGATAACCCTCCTGCATATAATTATTTAATATTCCCATCATTTATTGGTCATCTACAGACACCAGAGTGCTGTGGGGGCTTCTACGGAAAGCGGTGTAAGGGTAAGTCTCTACTCTAGCGTTTATGAGGTAGGATGGCAGGTTTGTCAAGTTTGGGATTCGATTCCTGGGTTAGCCGTCTCAAAGACTGTCCACTACCAGATGGCTCTCTGGGTAAACGTGTGTCCTCGGATATCTACGTGGAGTAATATGGACGAAAAGCTGATAAAACCGTTTGGTTTCCTACCTCAAATGGGAAGAGACAGGGTCCGTAATTCAGACATCAGTGAAAGATTTGTTACCATAGCAATCCAATAGGACACTAGGAAGTCTATATCTATGGAAAAGCGAAGAACCAAATGGTTTGGACACCTAGCTCATTTGCCTATCAACTAACCTGCCCTAAAAATTTACAACAAATAGGACGACCCAGAAAATGGTGAATTGAGGGGGTTAAGCTCACCATAAACGCGACACCACACTGTATGAGCGTCAGATAAAGTTTTTAATAAAGTAAAGTGAATACTTCAAATATGGGTTCTTTTAAAACCGGCATTGTTTCTATTCTTCATAGACGGAAAACAGAAGTCCTTTACAGTAGTAATGGGGTATAGTAAACATTGTTTTGATGGGTTCTTGGTCAGTATCTCCAAAGGAGAGGCGAACCATCTTGTAGTGCGCAATCTTTGGACAGATCAAATCGTATCCTCCAAAAAGATATTTTACATATTTTAAGAAAATAAGTGTAAGTGTTTGGACTCTTACTTCTAGGCTGGCGTGGGACTGTAGTAGACATCTCGAACAGACAAGTCCACCAGGAAAGTTATTGACGAGTTGAGTAAGCCTTCTTTCGGTACTGATACAGGTCTTGGAACAAACCTTTTAAGCATGGAGAACTTAAGATGATTTAGAACGCGGAGCACGAGGGATAAGGATAGGCATGTTGTGGACAGTAGAAGATAATTCATCATTCACAATAATGGATGTTCTTAAATTCCCACTTATCGATTTGCAGAAAACCAGTCTCGTAAAAAGCTATGTGAAAATATACACACTAAGACTGCTTGGATCAGCATGCACACTGTTAATACTGCTCACCCCAAAACTGACCCTAATAGTCCGCCAGGTGGTCTTGTTTTATTAATGTTATCATTTTTGTTTTGGAGAAATGCTGGTTGTTGAATTTCATCACCGAGGGCAAAACGTCAAGAATCATTTTCAAGGGAAGTCATCGATAATTTACGTCTGTGGAATGATTGTCCACTGATTACCGTGCTTGAAAATTGAACAGCCAAAGGAAGCAGAATAAATATACTGCAGAACTTTTGTCTAATCTGCCATAGTTAATTGGAAACGTTTGTTTTGTTGTCTTTTGTTGTTGTTGTTTTTGGGGGTTTTTTTGGAAGTGTTATTGTTCTTGCCGAAGCCCGCCTCATAAATGATCTAAATTATGTCGATAGAGGTGTAAAACGCCTATACATATTTTTTGTACTCTGAAGTTTTGGAGAAAAAAATGTCCATAAGTCGAAGAAATTAAATTCTGTCCAACGTAATACACATCTTGCACTTACACATCTGCGTGTTACTATTATGAGCAAATTTTAATAATCATCGTTTTCTAAACCATAGTCTTTGGCGTAATGACTAGAGTCCTCGTTGTTGCACGAAGAGAACTTATATTTCCTTGTTCAGAACGTTGTTATTGTTGATGCTGTTGTTGTTGTTGTTGTTGTGGTGATGGTGGTGGTATTGTTGTTGTTGTTGTTGTTGTTATTGCTATTGTTGCTGTTGCTGCTGCTGTTGTTTTATATAAACTGTCTACCTCTGTCAGCTGGAATATTTTATCTCAGGCAACCACGTTGGACTTGACAGTCAGGGCCGAAGAAGTCTGCCACCTAGGGAACCGAAATTGTGTTGAAGCGAGCGTGAAAAAATTTGATTATCAACTATCATGGTGCTGTCACCTCATGACATTGACATCTTCCTCGTCCCCAGAGTGTCCGGGAGGGGCGGAGACTCCATGTAACGGTCGTGGTCTTTGCGAGGACGGCCTGGCGGGGAACGGGACGTGCCTGTGTCACGAGCGTTTTGGCGGGGACGACTGTACCGAGTGCGCCAACTTCAGCATGGCTCCTCCACACTGTAACGTTTGTAAGTAGTGCTTGTCGGACTTTTCTTTTGCAATTTTTGCCACTTTTTACACAAGGCAGGACCACCTCTTACATGTACAAAAATAAGCCATCTAGCCTGCCAGCCTCCTGGACAGCCTAAATAACACCAAATATTCAGCCTATAAACGAAGAGGTAGATCACTCAAAAGATGGATTGAGAGAGTCAAGGAAACCCTGAGAAATTATCATAACCCAGTTGACAGAGCTGCAGAACTGGCCTATCATAGAAAACTGCATCTCCCCTCACGCATAACAGCAACAGAGGATAAAAAGGTGAAAGTAATTACGTAGGACCTGTAACAGCATACCAGCGGCGTTCGTGGTATAGCTGTGTAGTGTAAGTAGTTGTTTATGTCTGTTGCTGTTTTTTAATCAGAAGCTAAGGTAAGTGAAATTATGAGAAAGTATATATTTAGCACCCCTATCAACACTGCAGGATCAGTTACAACGTAAGGCTGGCGTCTGTGGTGTTCTTGTGTGTGTGTGTGTGTGTGTGTGTGTGTGTGTGTGTGTGTGTGTGTTTTTAGTAGAGTTTTACGGCGCTCGCAACTGCATAAGGTCATATGAGCGCCAAGGGTGGATGTCAACAGAGAAGTCCAAACGGGAAATCAGGCTTACTCTGCTCACCTCTCTTGCCTCAACAGCACAAAGTCTGCTTCGGCTATTAAGGCACCCCGGAAATAGCAGTTCACAAGGAGAGTGACACATACTAAAGTAGTAGAGAAAAAATTACGATAGTAAGGACGAGGAAAGAAAAAGCCGTGGTGTCGCTGGTTAGGCCCTTTGTAGCTGCACTAAGAAGAAGTTCGTTCGACTGACGTGTGGAGAGGGTTTGTTTTGTTTACTTCATTTTTGTAATCGAGCGTCTACATCTGTCTGCTATGGCATTATATCTCTCTCTCTCTCTCTCTCTCTCTCTCTGCCCAGGCTGGTCCTTACTGGGAGGGTCGGAGCAGCCTGCCTCCTAAATCACTTCACTTCCTGGCCGGAAAATTGATAATTGCGTTTCATGATAGGCTGGGCCGCAATCCAACTCTTATATGATCTAAATTGTGTTTAAGAAGCGAGTAAACACCTATATTTTAAAAAAAACCATACTTCTTATTACAGAATATTAGAAGACGAATAATATAGTGCGCTGCGTAATCTATATTAATTTTTATTACAGCTTTTATTTCACGCATGAGATATCAGCTTATTGTATTTCACCTGTGGGTTATAAGGATTTATTTCTCCTGAAGTGCAAAGCTAAAAAAAACTCCAGGTCAAAATTATCATAATTATGCTTTTATTCTCTGCAGCGTACAACAGCTGTGCCTACAAGAACGGTAACTGCAGCGAGAAGGCGGCGTGCAGTGAGACCAGCAGCGGCGTGAGTTGTCGGTGCTGGCTGGGCTATGTCGGTGACGGCTACCACTGCCAGTCCATCTGTGAAACCATGGACAACGGAGGCTGCCACCAACAGGCTACTTGTGTTTTCAACGTGAGTATATATGAAGCTTTAATGCTTTCGTTTATTTGTTTTGTATTGCTTCGGATTTATTTTTATTTTTTTTTGGGGGGGGGGTCAATGGCCCTAATCTTAGGTGTAAACGTAAATGCAATCGTAGATAATTTACGCCCCATCAACACTGTTTAGTTTTAGTTACTTAGGAAGCTGGCTGTTTCACAACAGTACGAGTTTCTGAAGTAAATTATAGCCTACCTTTTGTCTACATTGAGTTACACTGAAATATATTATGATATTGATATGTCTAAAATCCTATTTTTACCCACTTTCAGAACAAAACTCACTCAGTCCAGTGTACGTGCAAAGACGGTTTCCATGGAAACGGCACCCGGTGTGAAGAGACGATCAACCCATGCGCCATAGAACATGGCGGCTGCGACTACCAGCGCGCCACTTGCAACTACATTAGGCCAAAGGTCACGGACTTGGTTCAGGCCCCGCCCATATGCGAGTGCGCGGAAGCTTACAAGGGAAATGGGTCACTGTGCGTTCTTGACACTCTGGATGCCTTGACGCGTATCCCAGCCCTGGAATATTTTGTTCAATGGATGAGGTCCAAGGTAAGATCTTGGCAGTTGGTAAAAGTAACTATGGATGTCTACTTTTTCTGTTGTTGGTTTTGTTTTATTTGTTTATTTATTTTTTCCCCCGCTTTTGGGGGACTTTGTGTGTTTTCTCTCGATTTTAGAGGGAGGGGGGGGGGCAGATGTTCGAATACTTGGCCTGTCTTTAGTCAGATTGAGTCTTTTCCACCCTAACTTTGACTTCTAAGATAATGTTAGATCTGGTTGTTTGCGCATTGGAAAAAATATCCAGTTCACATACACTACTCGATACAGAAAAACTTAAAAATTGAAGAAATCGGCATTTTTCTGCCTCGTTTGACATTTCTTTTTTCTCAAAATGTTTTATGACTATTTAAAAACACATTCCTGTGTGAGCATCACTAAAAGAATGATCAAAGCAATAAAAATGCAAATTTTCAGTTTCCAAGGACTCAAGCTTTTGAAGTCAACATCAAACGTTGGTGACCATTTTCTCGCTTATTTTGCTCCTGACACCAGTCGACCCCCACCTCCATCAAAAGCAAATATCTTGACTTCTTTTCAAGATAGATGGGTGGGGGGGGGGTTGTCCTCTAAAGCAAGGCAAATGAACAAATGAATAGGCTTTAAGACGGTATCAATAACGCAATGTGCCCAAAAATTGAGGAGCGTCTGAGTCCACCGTGTCTTGACACTTTAAGTAGTCGATCACTTTCCATCCACAGCAGTCCACCACAGGCAGCTTGAACACGACCCTAGCGGACCGTGGTACCAACAATACTTTCTTTGCGCCCGCCAGTCGGGTAAGTTGTCGCCGTTCACGTTTACAAAAATTGTTTGTTCACGTTTACAAAAATTGTTTATTTATGGTAATTTTTTACGACCAATTGACTCTTCGTCTTTTGCGAAGCGGGTTGCTTTGATACTGCCTGTTAGAATAAAGCAAAGGATGATACTCAATAACAGACTTCCTTACTCGGAACTTGAACCATCGAGCCGATTCAATAAAACACAATTTAAACATTTTTATATACATGTTTTTTGTCTGTAAATCAAGCAAGACTCCTGCCCCCATACTTGTTTTTAAACAATGAGGATGATGATGATGAGGAGGAGGAGGAGGAGGAAGAAAAGGACGACGACGACGACGAGGAGGACGAGGAAGAGGAGGACAGGGAGGATTGGGAGGGGGACAACAATGATAACGACGATGCTGAATGCCTTGTGGTAGTGGTAATGGTAGAAAAGTGAGTCATCGTTACCGTCACCTTTCTTCTTATTGCTCTTGTTGTCATCAATAGCCGGGCATCCCCACCCACCCCCCCCCCCCCTCTCTTTTTTTGTTTTTTTTTTTTTTTTTTTTTTGGGGGGGGGGGCAAAAAGTATCAACTTCTAGATTTATTTGAGTAAACATGCATCGTGAAAACAAAATTTGGTCATATAATAGGCCTACTGCCTAGGGCCGGGAGGCTAGCGACAAATTGCGGCCCTTTCTCAAATAAGAGGAGGAGGAAGAAAAAGAAAAAATGATCAGAAACAGAAAATAC